CCCCTCCTTGGGTTTCCGAGGCAGTATCACTATGGAAGTAGGATTGCCCAACCTTCCTTCCGAGGAGTGGCTGGTGGGTTTGAACCGCCAGCCGTGGGGAGTGGCTTTGCACATCATAAAACCAAAAACCAAACTCAGTGCTGTTGAGTTGGTTCTGACTCACAATGACCCCTCCTTGGGTTTCTGAGGTGGTATCTTGATGGCAGCAAGTTATTTATTTATTTATTTATTTAATCTAGACAGAAGTGGATTTTATCTCTACAATCTTCATTCTGAGGAGTGGCTAGTGGGTTTGAACTGCCAGCCTTCTGGTGAGCAGTCAAATGCCTTAGGCACTACATCACCAGAACTCCTTAGCACATCATAGGCAGTTGTAAAGTATAATCGTGGTGGTGGTAGTAATGATGATAATAGTGAGGCAGTGGGGTGATGGTGACGATGGAGGAGATGGTTTTGGTGGTGGTGGTGCTGACTTGAAGAAAGCTTTAGAACTTTGTATTAAAGCAATGGAGGTTTTGTTCAAATGAAATTTTAATGAGAAACAACATAAGATAGATAAATAAGGGTAGCTTAGTCTAAAAAAGGGATTGGAGCTTTTCTGCTCAGCAAGCTCTTCTCTCGGCCATCTGCCTTATCTTAGGGGCCCAGACAATTTACTGTGAAATACTCAGCACTCAGAAAAACAGTTTGAAAATCTTCTCACCTATAGAAATGGCCAGACACTTGTTTACTTACTTTAAATCGTGGGTAGGTTTAATGTTTCTGGGAGGTAGGCTTGGAACTGGTGGTTGTGTTGGATGAGATGCTGGCAACGGTGGTTGGCTGGCTGGATGGGGTGGTGGAGGTGGTGGTAGGGAAGTTGTTGAGTGAGATGTTGGGCCTTTGCTGGCACCTAAGAAATGAAGCAAAAAATACTGTAAGTTAAGACAAATCTTAAAAATACAAGAACTAGCTGTTCTAGGTATACAGGGATGAGGGTTTTGAATATAAAATGTTAGAAATGCATCCTAGGTTGAAACACCATGACATTGCTGGAAACTAAAATATTCCCAGGTTCTACTGGTGAACTGAATTGCTTGTCTCTGCTATCTCACTTCCTTACTTTGACCCTCTTCTTCACTGTCATTCCTCCATTCACTTTCTGATTTCCTATATTGTGCTTTGAATTACACATGTTGCCTATGTTCACTGACTGTGAATGGAGTGTGTAAATTTTATACTCCTTCTTTGGTGGTATCTTTTTGAGAGGAAAAGGGGATGCCATCTTAAAAACATTTTGTTTAATTTTACATTTCTTTGATCATTAATAAGGTCAATTTTTAAAACAATTATGATAATTTTTCTTGTTAATTTTATCATCTATTAAAACTTTTTGCTTACTTTTTTGTACCATTTTTATTTTCTTATTGATTTATAAAACCTCTTTATGTAGGTTATGTCTTAGTTATCCAGTGTTGCTATAACAGAAATATCACAAGCAGTTGGCTTTAACAAACAGAAATTCATTCTCTTACAGTTTAGGAGGCTAGAATTTTGAATTCAGGGCATCAGCTTGAGAGGAAGCCTTTTTCTGTTGCCTCTGGGGGAAGGTACTTGTCATCAGTCTTCCCTTGGGTCTAGGAGTTTTTCAGCACAGGGACCCTGGGTCCAAAGTATCCTGATCCATTACCACCTCTTTTTTCATGGTGGTCATAGGTCCTTCCTTCTCTGCTCTCTTCTTTAATCTCTTTTGTATCTCAGAAAGATCGACTCAAGATACAACTTAACTCTGCAGATTGTATCCCACCTCATTAATATCACAGAGGTTAGGATTTACAACACATAGTATGATTACAGAATACTGAGCCAAGCTGACACATTTTTTAGGGGTCACAATTCAATCTATAACAGGATGTGATAGTTGGAGCTGTGTGTCAACTTGGCTGGACCACAGTCCTGTGTGGTTAAGCAATTGTGATGTGGGTTATTCTCATGATGGGATCGGATGTACATGTTTTGAGAAGCCAATCTGTTGGAAGGGAGTTTCCCTAGTTTTTAAGATGGCATCCCCTTTTCCTCTCAAAAAGATACCACCAAAGAAGGAGTATAAAATTTACAAACTCCATTCACAGTCAGTGAACATAGGCAACATGTGTAATTCAAAGCACGATATAGGAAATCAGAAAGTGAATGGAGGAATGACAGTGAAGAAGAGGGTCAAAGTAAGGAAGTGAGATAACAGAGATAAGCAATTCAGTTCACCAGTAGAACCTGGGAATATTTTAGTTTCCAATTGGCCTGCTTCCAATATATTTATGGATAATCCTGGGGAAAAGAAACACTCTTCTGTGGATCAGGATCCTGTTGTGCTGTGTACAACTGTCCATGAGTGAACAATCCACCATTCAGTGTGGAGATCTTGGATTTGTCATTCGTTGGAGTCAACAGCCAGTATACTGCCTGCCAACCTTGAGCTCATCAGCCCCTGCAGCTTCTGTTTGATCCAACTTGACATTTGATCCAAGATCTTGGGACTTGCCAGCTTCTTTAAGTGTGTGAGCCATTTTCCTAAGATAAATTTCTCTTTCTCTCTCTATATAAGCTTTACTGGTTTTGCTTCTCTAGAGAACCCAGCCTAATACACAGGATATAAATCTTATTGTCTCTTACATGTCTCCAAATCAAATACATTTTGGCTTCTTTGGCTTCTATCTTTGCCTGAGTATATGTAAAAAACCAAAACAGACTACAACCAATAAAACTTATTTTTTTAAGACTCTTGAAAAAAACATAGTACTTTAGTGTAACTTTCCTTAAGGGAGCAATGACAGGGTTTTACACAGAATATTGCACAAAAAGCTTCTTAATTATTTTTTTCTCTCTTTTCAAAATTTTGTACCTATGGTAATTGAGGGAGCTCTGGTAGCATAGTGGCTAGGGACTTGACTGCTAACCAGAAGGCTGGCAGTTCAAACCCACCAGCCACTACTCAGAAGGAAGTTTGGGCAATCTACTTCCATAGTGATACTGCCTCGGAAACCCAAGGAGGGGTCGCTATGAGTTGGGTCCAACTTGATGGCACATAACAACAACAACAACAACAACATGGTAATTGTTAGAAATAGTGCCCTCTCTTTTCATTTTCTCTTCTCACTGCCACAGTGCTCCTCTTAATAGATTTTTTAAATTTACTCAGTTCCTGCACTGATTTGTGACACTCTTTGCCAGGTGCATTCTCACGTGTATTGCTCATCTTCTCTTTTAATAGTAATATTTTGGAGGTTTTGGGGCAAAGAGAATTAGCTTCTCTCAAAATCTGATATATAAAAAAATAAAACTCATTACATTTATGTTAGACATGTTTTGTCCAATTAATTTTTGTGACAAATAAAATATATATATATATTTTTTGATGTATTGGACTTGCTATTTTTCCTCTAGTTCAACTAATCAGTCCTTTTATGTGTACTTTCTGTCATACAAGTTACCTTTAGGAAGGCCTTCCCTACCCTGAGTGAAGGTAATTACCAATCTGTATTTTCTCCCAATTCTCAATGCCTTCGTTTTTTCATTTAACTCATTATTAGTAAAGTATTTTGGCGTTTGGTGTGAGGTAGGGGTCTAATTTTATGTTTGTTGTTCCTAAATTATTTACCAAATATCCTAGCATCATTTGTTTAATAAACTATTACTTACTGATTTGAAATGCTTTCTTTATAACAGAATAAACACTAAAACGTTAGTAAATTTGATGAATGAAAAATGACATCTTATTTTCAATTTATAAATATTGTAGATTCATAAATAGAGCTATTGAGCTGTACCCACCCCCCTAAAAAAAGCTTCTATGAGTGGATTTTAATAAATTCTTACCCAAATGGAAGTAGAAAATGCTTATTAACCATTTGTTGTATTTTTCATAATGTGGTAAAGAAGCAGGAGGCATGAGAGTATGTTAAGGCCTGAAGGTGAAAAACTATAAGCCAGGTTTGGAGAATGATCAGTCCTTTGAACTGGAAATACTAAAAACCTGACTTACCCTGAAAGTCGTGTTTCTTTCCTTTATGTAGGACTTCCCCATGTGGTAGCAATGAGACTTTCCCATGCAGTATCAATGGTAGACTCCTGCAGCTGTGCCTGCCTAGCATCTATTATTTCTTTAGTTATTATAACTTGAGCAACTAGGAAAAGGGTCTGCTTTCTTTCTCACTTGTCTTGGAAATAGAAGGGGGTTCCCCTGGAGCTGCTGGCAGCAAGACCAGAAGAAAGTAAGGCTGAGAGATGGAGAGAGACTGGCTGATTTTTAAGATTGCATTTGGAAAGTTGTCAAAGATAAGCAAAAGGCTCAATGAGACACTAAACTAATTTAAAGAGTCTGGGTGGTACAAGTAAGGCCATCTGCTAACCTAAAGGTTGGCATTTGACCTAGGGCTTTGAACCAATTAATTCCAATGTAACCTCCTGCTGAGAATTTGCATTTCCACCCTAGATATGCTGAATCAAAATCTACATTTTAACAAGATGTACGGGTAATTCTTAGAGCTTGTAAGAATCTTATTAAAATGTAGATTCTGATTCAGTGTATCTGGGATGAAAATGCAAATTCTCAGCAGGGAGTTGAACTCACTCAGTGGCTCTGTGGATGAACGCCCTGGAAAACTGCTTTTGTGAAGATTATAGTCAAGAAAACCCTAGGGGTATGTTCTACTCTGTAAAGCATAGGGGTGCAAGGAGTCAGGCTGGGCCAACTCAATGTTAGCTAACAATGACATGAAACAAATTATTTGAATGTCTTGTTCCACATCAAGCTTGAAGAGCATCTGCTAAAGACTTTATGTTACTGCAGTGAATTGCTTGAAGTGGCCCTTCTAGCCATTGTCCTCCATTCTGTGGTGTTTCGTAAATCCCATTATCCATGCCTGTTTGGGGTGGTGTGGTAGTTAAGGTCAGGTATCAACTTGGCTGGGCAGCTGGTAGTAGTCATTCCCTACAATGACTGGCAATCGACTCTGTGATGGGATTTAGGTTAATTCTGTTGGGACAACACAAGTGGAATGTATCTTGAGTCCTGCCTTGCTGGAGGGTATAAAAAAAATCACCACCCTTAGCTTCCCGGAGGGTTTTACCTACGAATCTCCTGGGAAGATTCGCTTGCCTCTTGCTCCAGCTTTGATCCTTGGCTTATCGTCATCTCACCCCTGGATTTGGGACAGCAGCCGCCGTCTGATCTGCTGATCGAGGTTCATCTAACCCCGAGAGTTGGGAGGATCCGCCAGACCTACTCACGGACCTGGGACTCGCCAGCCTGCCAGCCTCCACCACCACTACGTGAGATGAACCCTTGGGTGTCTGTGAGTTCTGTGAGGCGTTACAGCGAAATTCAGAACCCTAAGACTGGGGAAATTACTGGGAGGAGGAGGAGGGGTTAATGTCTGAGATGATGGAGTGGCATGGTAGTTTGGACATTTGGGACATCTTTGACCTCCGCCTCATGGGGACCAGCCTCGTGCTGATCTTTCTAAGAGAAATTGTTCAAGCAGTTACATTGGTGTTTAGTTGTAAAATATTTTGCCTTGCAAAGTATCTGGTCATTTTCAAATATTCCAAGGACTGTATTTGCATATAAAATAATTCTAAGGAAAGAAAATCTTTGTTTTTCTAGGGGAGAGATGTTAATCTCAAACTGGACTTGATAAAGTATACTAAAATACAGTTTTTGTTGTTATGTGCCGTTGAGTCAGACCCGATTCATAGCGACCCGTCCTCGGGTTTCCGAGGCAGTATCACTACGGAAGTAGATTGCCCGATCTTCCTTCCGAGGACTGGCTTGTGGGTTTGAACCACCAGCCTTCTGGTTAGCAGTCAAGTGCTTTAGGCACTATGCTACCAGAGCTCCTAAAATATAATTAGTAA